GGGTCTCGCTCTTGCTCAGGCTGGTCTCGAACTCCTGAGCTCAAACAATCCACCCACCTCGGCCTCCCAGAGAGCTAGGATTACAGGCGTGAGCCACTGCGCCCGGCCAAGAACAGCACACTTTCTAACCCACATTAAATGGGATCCAGAAGCCTTGCCTCTTTACTACTTCTTCCAGAATTCTAGCATTATGGAAGTTAGCTTGTCTGCTCCCTAGGAGATGGCTGATCCTGTCTACGAGCTAGATCATTCTGAATAAATCTCCTGTTTTCTTTCCTTTGTTGGTTGCTCATTGCTAATTCTTCTTGCCTTCTTTTCACAAAGGACTATGATGCCTTCTTTGAAGCCAGAGAAAATAATGCAGTGTATGCCTTTTTAGGCTTGACAGCACCACCTGGTTCAAAGGTATGATACCCATTTTTCCTGCTTTATAAGTCATTATATTACTGCTGGGTTTTTGACCAATAATATTTTCACCTTTATTAAGTATTCAGATTAAGTCAGAGGCAGTGCATCATAGCTAATCTACATTCATTTAATCCCTAGTAGGGCAGACATGTCTGCATAATCACATACATAAAGTATGTGTTTAGGAGGTAGATGGAGTTAGCTGCACAGGACAGCAAATTTCTCATTGACCCATTCACAAATAAATGGTTAGCAATTTTAAAGACTCCTTTATTTCAGCTGTCATGCATTATTCTACATCGACAGCAAGCATCTTAGTTCAAGGTAATCTCCATGGCAGCATTTACTGTCTTTGTGTGAGAGCAAATGATAGAGTCATCCATTCAAGTTAACTAAGAGCATTTAAGTTGCAAAACCCGTCACCAAATTGCTAGCTAAATTTGGGGCTTTTATCCTGCCAACACAAATTAATTTTTCAAGTGACAATATTCCCAGGGGAGACCAAATAAAGAAAGCAAAAACGAAATAGACTAATGAAATGTCTCAAAGCTATGGACTTTTTAAATATACCTTTGCATTTTACAGTAGGTCTTCTCCACACAAGCTGGCTTAATCAAAATATATGTCCCCTGCTCTATCATTTTATGTTTTGCTCTTAGCAATTGATTTTATGTTAGATTCTTTGAAGTCAGACGGGATCAGGCGCACTCAGGGCGGTGCGGCCGTAGACTATGTTAGATTCTTCGAACTCCCCCAGTTCCTTCTTCAATTTTGAGAGTTTGTTTGAGATTTACTAGCATTGTGTTTACATCACTGTGAAATTGTGTTTCCTTGCCAAAATTTATTTTCCCATGGATAAATTGTTATACTTTAGGCTTTGTGTAATTTTAATTGTAAGAAAAGTTAGGCAAGGCACTTTGTTTAAATAAGACCCAAGTTAAGTCATCAGGTTCAGTGCAGATTTGAGGAAGTATGAAAGGATAGTCTGTTTTCTGAGATGACTCCCTCCCCTTCAGTTAAAATTAGGATTCATTCATTCATCTATTCATTCAAAAAGTATTTATTTAGTGTCAAGCACTGACGACATTAATGGTGGGGCAAATACAGAGAATACAGCATAGTCCCTACATTCAAAGTGTTTGTAACCTAGAGAGGGGCATTTATACAAATAATTACACAACAAATATTTGTACATATAATAATAACTCAAAACATTCTGTGGTAAATTTTATAAGTTGGTGTGAATAAAGTGCTGAAGAAGTCCAGAGGAAATAATCATATATTCCTACTCAGGAGGTTGGGGAAGGTTTCATAGAGGGAGTGGAATTTGAACTATTGGGGATTCCAAAATATTAAAGTGGCACTAAAGCATCTTTCACAGAAATAGCAACAGAAACCATTGCATTGGGGTATAGTTGAACGTGATGTTGTAATCAGGGAGCAGAGTATACTATAGCATGGCTCCAGAATAGGTATATTAAATAGAGGAGGCTCTATTAGGAAGTAAGGTTGGCTACATAGATGGGGGCAAGATTATGATTGCTGTGCTAGGTTGATTCAACTTTATTCTCTAGGTGTCCAAAAGCCATAACGGGGAATGGAGGAAAACAACAATGTGATTATTTCTGTATTTTAAAGTGTGATTTAATCTATGTCTTAAGAAGAAAAATTTTGCGATTGTATGCATTGTCAAACATTGGAGAAATGAGATAATAGAGACAGACAGACCCATTAGAAGACACCTTAAGAGTACAGAAAAGTGATTGAGAAGGCCTGAAATAGGACAGCAGTATTGGAAAGGGGAAGATGGATTTAGGAGACACAAAAAATTCACATGTTGTAGGATTTAGCAATTAATGAGATGCTTGTACATGCCAAAAACTGGGAGGGATTAAAGCTATCTGGGGGGCTACTAACCTGGATGATTGGGAAGTGAAGTAGAGGTCACAGAGGAAACAGAAAAGTGAGTGATCCAGGGAAGGAGTTAGTCTTGGGAATGAGAGGGCATGCGGTGTTCTTCTGAGAGTGGAAGAAATGTTGAGAGAAGGATAACATACGTAACCTAAACACCTGTACCCCCATAATATGCTGAAATAAAAAAAAGACAACAACAGAAAGAAAAGCTACCTTACTAGCTGCAAATATAATTTAAAAAACATAAAGAGAGAGAGAAATCA